ACCTGGGTTCATAGCCTTTTCCCCAGGTGTGCGCACACACCCTCATCTCCTGTCAGAGGGCTGCCCACTGGCAAAGAGAAGCCTGTCCCCCAGAGTAGGGCCAGGTCACCCACCTTTTGGGCCTGGTACCACCCTCAACCCAAATCCATGGGGAAAAGTGAGTCCCCATTCAATTCCACTGCCAACCACTCCAGCCCCACAGGTCCCAGCCCACTGATGATGCCATTCACCCCCAAGCTCCCCTCACCCGTGGATCCTGGGGGAAGGGTATCCAGTCAAGACAACATATTTCACTTTTTTCATTTTTTTATTAATCAAATGATACAAAACAAACCATCATTCTGTAAATGCCCAAGCACCCAGCTGGTCCTGTCACCCCAAGGTCACACCCTCCTCAGCCTCTCCCCCAGCCCTGCTCTCCCTCCTCCCCTGCCCTAGCCCAGGGAGGGTCCTGGGAGGAGGCTGGGGCAGAGCTGGAGGCAGGAAGGGACAGCACTGAACAGACAGCTGTGGTTTGGGTTGGGGAAGAGATTAGGAGGGGTAGGTTCTTAAAGACCAATTTTAGTTCCTAATATCCAGCCATATTCCCAGCCCCTTTCTTCAAATCATTTCCCATAGCCCAGCTTCTCTCTGCCCTCCCCCACTACCAAATTCCTTGGCCCTCGCACTGTCCTCATCCCTCCAGCCATCCCTCAATATCCATCCCTGGCCCGACCCACCCCCAAGCCTCCCTCTGGTGGGGACTCCTGGACCCATAAGCTCCACGGAGCACCCAGGACGGAAGTGCACAGAAACCCTGGGGAAGGCCGTTGGGACGTGGACTTTGTAGAGGTGAGGAGAGGTGCAGGCTGGGGAATAGGGCGGTGGCGGAAGGGAGGAGCTTTTATTTCCAGACCCACAGTCTCTAAGGTCCCCTCTTCCCAACACCTGCCAAGAATTGCAGGGGGAGCTCTCAACTCCCTCGGACAGGGCTCTCCAGCTTCACACTCTTGGCTGCTTCTCCAATCAGCTCCCAGAAACTCCCGAACTCCAGCTTAGAGTCGCTACAGCTGCCCAAGTTGGCGATTTTCTCTTCCAGCCCGCAGTTGCTCTAAGGGGAGGGAAGACACTATGGCTCAGGGAGGCAGCACCTTCAAATCTTCCCACCCCGCCCTGCCCCGGGGCAGGCAGCAGGACCTGAGCCTACCTGGCACTGGCAAGGGGGAAGGACTGGGGTTGCTAGTGCCAAGGTGGGTGGGGTCTTGGAGCACTTGCTTGGGAAGTCAGGGTACTGGCTGGGGCAGGGTGCACTCCCTCAGTACCGGCATGAGGTGGGGCAGCTGCTGGGTGACCAGGTCCCGTAGCTCAGAGGGGGTCAGCGTCTCCTTCCCACCCTCCACAGAGTACTGGTGGAAGTTCTTGATGAGGGTCTCAATGGCCCTCTCCACATCACTGAATTCCTGGGCATCCTGAGGGCAGAGGACATCACCCGTGTTAGGATGGCTCCACCCACCCTATGACACCCTGCTTTCCCGGGAGCCTGGCAAAGCCAACAGGGCAGAAGACAGCTGGAAGGCACATGGGCTCCTGCCTACTCCACAGCCCAGAATCCAGCCCCTCTGCTCCCACCCCCGGCCCAGCCTCCGGGCCACAGTGGCCTCTGCCCGAGCCACAGGTTGAGCAAGGCTTCCCTCCCCACCACCCCCCAGCTCAGGCAGAGCAGGTCCCAGCATGCACCCAGGCATTCTCTTCCAGGAGGACTCCATCTGCATCACCCTGTGTGGGCCTGAGGGAGGGGGCTCAGGTCTCACCAGCAGGATCTGGGATGCAGGGTAAGGTCAAGGTGAGGGGCAGAAGTCACTGGGGGACATAGACCCTGAGAGTGGAGGAGAGGAGTGTGGGAACAGAAAGGCCAGGAGTGGATGGGCCCACCTCAGCGTTGGCTGACCGACACTGTCCCATGGTGCCTGGTGCGCTTGGTCCTTTGGTGAGTTTTGCTTCCTATAGGCTGCCCCAGAGGAGCTGATGGCTCATGATCTGCGCAGAGAAGGGGGAGGCCAGAGGTGAGGGGAGAGTTCAGGATTTCTTTCCCAACTACCCGCCTTGGTTCCACCCCAGATAGTCTGTGCCTCACCCAAGCTGTCAGACAGAACTCCACACAGACCCAGTCCCTGCCCAGGCTCCGGGAGCTAAGGTCACAGCCCCCAGGCCAACCCATTCAGAGGGAATCCCTAGGGCCTCACCTAAGCCTCATTCCTCCCACTTCTTCCAACCATCCACTTCCGTTTGAAACACTCACACCCCAATCTCCAGGACCTGGTCCCCCTGCCCTCCTCCTGGCACACTAGGGTAGGGCGAACTAAGTAAGCCCTCTAGACAGGGGGACAGCCCATTTGGGTGAAAAGCCCTGGGTTTTCTTACCTGCTGGCAGCCGCTGACACAGGACAGGAGGAGCCAGCTCACCTGAGCTCAGCTTTTATACCTGGGGGAAGGGAGGGGAGGCAGGGGGCGGGGCCTCATCCCTAAGCCACCCCTGCTATTGCAGCAGCCTGGGCCCTGAGCCAGCGGTGTGGGCCCCACCCTCATTGGCCAGAGTTCCTGAGCCTACCCCCACCCAGCCATGCCAGGAGAAGGGAGCCAGGGAGGGCTGGGGCTGGGATGCCCCTGGCCCCAGATCAGCAAACAAGAGTCATAGAGACAGGGCGGGGGCGGGGAAGGAAGCCTGAGGAGAGGGAGAGAGGGCTTCCAGACCCCTGGGGTTGCATCTGGGAGGTGGAAGGGCCTGGGGGAATTGTGGGGCAGAGAAGCAGACTGGTCTGGTCAGTAAGAGAAAAGAAGGAGACACAGAGGCGGGTCAAAGCGGGGTTTGTGGGACTGTGGGGAGTGTGAGGCATGTTCACAGGAACTTCTCTGTACTTTCCATGTGTCACACACACACTCCTCTCAACCAAGGCCGACTTGGATAGTGACACCCAAGCCTGCCCAGAGCCCAGACTTTCCCAGTCCTGATGGCAGAGACGAATGCAGAGAACCCAGGTCAGGAGAAGAAGCCTGGGGGACGGAGCCAGACTGGGTGCGTGTTGACCCCACTCCCCTTCGGCTCCCACTGTGGCCCAGAGTCCATGTGTGCAAGGCCCAAATGGGTTGCCTGGCAGCTAACAACCTCTCCAAAGCCCAAATGGGTTGCCTGGCAGCTAACAACCTCTCCAAACTGGTCGGGCTGCATGCTCCTCCCTCGCTCAGCACCTGAGAACCCAGTGCCTTCCCGAACCTAGCAGTTGCAACTTGCCTCTGATCCAGTACCCAATATGACATCCCTGGGAGCGCAGACTGCAGGATCAGGGACTCAGTCTGACCCAGGTGGTCCTCCTCACCTGCCAAGGGCCAGAGGCCTGGAACCTGAAGTCATGGGGCGTGGGGAGAAAGGACAGAGACAATGTGGGGCAGGGCAGGGATGGGGCAGAGTCCAGAGCCCAAGTTCCTGGGAGCCTTTCCTAAGAGCATACCTCCCCATCTCCCTCCCCACATCATCTTCTAGGGCAGCGGTCCCCAACGTTTTTGGCACCAGGGACCGGTTTCATGGAAGACAGTTTTTCTGTGGGGGGAGGGGGACCCAGGCAGTGATGTGAGCAATGTCCCACTGCTCACCTCCTGCTGTGTGCCCCCCTTCCTAAGTTACATGGGAGACAACTTTTCCGCCAACAGGGTTTGGGGACAGCGGAGCTCTTTTGCCCAGTCCCTAACAGGCCTCGGACTGGACTGGTACCGGTCCATGGCCATGGTGTTGGGGACCACAGTTCTAGGGCCTCCCTGTACTTTTGGTCTCAAATCCAGGGCCCTCTGTGTCTCAACAGAAGGGCCCTTCCAAGAGCGTCTCGATCTGAGGGTTCCTCTGAACGGATTCAATCCAGGGACCCCTCTGAGGGCCTCTCAATCTGACGGCTTCTCTGAGAGTGACTCAGCCTGGGATTCCTCTGAGGGGTCTCAGTCTGAGGGTCCCTCATAGAGTCTCTCACTGTGAGGGAGCCCGCCAGTGTGGGAGCCCCTGTGGCTGTCTCCACTTGCAATGGTCCCACAGATGCCCAGTCTGGAGGTCCCTCTGCCGCCTCTGTCTGGGGGCCCTTAGATGGAAGGTCTCAATCTGGGACCCTTTCATGGTGTGTGAAAGGGAGCTTGTCTGAACCCAAATATTCCTCTGGACTAGCAGCTGCCGCACATGGACACCTGCTGGTGCAGCAATGACAGCGAGCTGCCCCGCCCCTGCTCCCTCTGGTGGTCGGGAGTGCAAACCACATGCCCCTCGAGCCAGGAAGGATAAGAATTCCGTGCCAAAAGTTCTGCTTCCTGCGGCACCACCACACCCTCGCCCCCACGCAGTCCTTGAACTAAACCTGTTGTCCCTCCTTCTGCTTCGCCGCTGCTATGGCGGGAGGGCGGGAGGAGGGTCCAAGTGTTCCCAAGCACCCATCCAGAGAGGATCCTGGTTAATCAGAGGCTCCGGAATTTCAACCCAGTTCCACCTATTCTCTTTGTGACTTAACCTCTCTAAAATCTGTTTCCTCATCTTTAATACAGGACTTAAAAACAGTACCTAACTCAAAGGGCTCTGAAAATTAATTAAAGATAATGCAGGTAAAATGTTTAGCACTGTGCCTGGCACTTAGTAAGCCCTGAACACATGTCCACTACCATCATTACCCTCCTGGCCAAACCCTAGGAGCAAGAAAACTGCAGCCTGGGACATGTAGCTGAGCCCCAGGAGGTACCTAGTGGGATAGGGATCACCTCACCTGCCCCATGTCTCTGTCTCTACTTTTCATATATTCATTCAACCATTTATTGAGCACCTGCTGTATACAAGACCTGGTGCTATTAATAGATGCTACAGAATATTCAAAGATGAATAACACTCCCTGTCCTCAAAGAGCTCATAATTTTCAGACCCACCCTCAGGTCAAGGCAGAGCTTTCCCACCACCTGGTCTCAAGAGAAGAAACCAGGGCGGGTGTGAGTAAGAACCATTTGTGTTTCAAGGAGGAAGCTTTATTTGGGGACAGTGGGGTTCTGCTCGGCCCTGCCCAGCCCTGCCCTGCCCGCCCCCATCCCAGCCAGCCGGCTTTACTTCTTCCGGATCTCCAGAGCCTTCTCCTTCCTGATTTCCTTGGCCAGCTCCCCAATCAGTCGCCAGTACTCATTGAACTTGAGCTCCGAGTCCTGATTCACATCCAAGCTTTTCATCTTCTCATCCAGGGAGCCCACATCCTGAGAGGACACCAAGGAGAAGGGTAGGATTAGAAACTGGGGTTCTTAAGATGGGAAGAGAGGAAAGAATTGCCAGTTGCCATTCTCTGAAGGCCTTTCCCTTCCCTCACAGAGAGCACTGGTACCTGCCTCTTACCTGAAGGATGAGGCTGCAGCCCCAAGATTGTATTGCCATGGGGTCCCAGCTCCAAGGGACACCAGCAGAGGGAGGTGGGAGGGCCTGATGTGTAGTGCTTGCCGTGGTGTAAATACTCCCACTATGGCCAATTATAAACTGCAAACATGATATCATTGGGAAGTAATGCATACAATCTGCTCTCACCAGCAGGTATGAGCCAGCTCCAGGTCGGAGCTGTCCTGGGGATGGATCCAGTCTGTCCACCCTCAGAGCCTTCTCAGTCCAGCCTCCTCTTTCACAGAAAGCTGGAGAAACTCCCAGTACTCAGATGCTCATTTGCATAACCCTAATATCTTCTCTTTTATCCAGCTGGGTTACTAGTCTGGTAGATCAGGGGAATGGCAAAGACATGGGGTATCTGATTTTCTAGAAGGTCCTTGACAAAATCTCTCAAAATAGGCCTATGAAGAAATCAGTGGATACTATAAAGTGGACGTCCTGATCAAAGGATTTGTTGTCAGATAAACAATCACAACCAAAAAGTTGACTG